AATCAACTTTTGAAACTGTCAGTCTATAGTTAATAACCTGTTGATTAGGGGTCTGTGGCAAGATATTATGGAAGGAGTGTAACAGAAGAGATTACTCAATAGGTACAGATAGTAAGGAAAGAAAGACAAAGGAGATAGATCTTGATTACTTCCTCCAAGGGAACCCCAATGGTGATCTAACTTCCTCCCACAAGGCTCTACTTCTTAAGGCACAGACGCTGTAAACTGAGGACCAAGTCATTAAGTCTAATGTACGTGGCCTTTGGGGGTACACTTCAGATCCAAACTCATGTACGTAGAAACTGAATGACTGCTAGAAAAGCTACTAACATTTTCCCTCCTAGAATTTCCATTTCTCCTTGAAATAGAAATCTTTAGTCATAGAAATAATCAAGTGGGCTTAGCATTCAGACCATAATGTACCTTTTGCTATGTTATGTAACTTGAAAACTAAGCTATAACCTTATTATTGTCTTGGAAATTTCTGTTTCATCTCAATTGCGCCTGCATGTAACAGTATGGAAGGACTTATTTGTTTCCAGTATCTATTGATAAAAATATAGGTGGTAAATATCCACTAACTACAAGAAGTCCCATTCCTGTTCTGTTTGAAATAAAATCATCATTTGATTAAGAATCACATTCTTTTTTCAAAATTTGCACTCACAATCTGTCTGGCATGTATTAGGACCCCAAATGTGTGTGTGTGTGTGTGTGTGTGTGTGTGTTTATATATGTATATGTGTGTGTCTGTATGTATGTGTCTGTGTGTTTATGTATGTATATGTATTTATATTATATATATTAAATCTATATTTTAGCATCACTTATTTTGTGTGTTAATAGTTAGAGGTATGTGCATTTTCTGTAGAATCAATTCAAGGCTTCATAGGCAAGCTGAAATCCAGACAAATTATTCAAATGTTTGCTGCAGCGAGCCAGAAGATTCCAATTTCAGCTGATTACCTCTGAGCATTATTCCTTCACTTTAGTTGGGTCATTCAAATTTCTGCTTCAAAAGCACAGCTTTTACCATCTTACGAAGCCATCTTGTTGAGTGATTTTAATCTTGAGTTCCTATTTCACTTCCCATTTGAGACGTTAATACTGTTTCCACAGTTACAACCCTCTGTTAATCATGGCCCTGGGAATTGAGCTCTCGAGAGTTTACACAGCCTCCACGTCTCTCAGTTCCCAGAGTTGCTTGCAGCTCCAAATCCTTCCCTTGGGGACAAGAGACAGTGCCTGCCTGCTCAGCCTGCCTGACGGCAAGCAAGAACTCAGTGGCTCTTCATCAGAGTTTAGGGGTGCCAACTGAGGTTTCTACCTTTAGTCATGCAGAGGGCAGAAGTAGACTGCTGAGATATGGTCTCTGAGATCTAGTAACAGCTTCCAGATGATGACAGTGTAGATGACGGGCTCTGGGAGTATAGGAAGTCTCTGTTGTATGGAGCTACAGGTAGACTAGGTTGTAAATGTCTCTCTTATTCACCTGATGTAATTGTCATCTCCAAGCTTACTGCTAAATAAGTTCACCCTTTCTAGTTCTTTCTGAACTCTGGCTGGATGGTTCAGCTGTTCTGGGTCAAACTCCTCTCCAAGCTGATTGATTCAATCTGGCTTCTCTCAGCTTCTCACCAAATTGCTCTGCTTGGCCTCAAACTAATTCTGTCAATTTGTTCTAATCTTCTGGCTCCTTCTTATTTTCTCGCTTCAACTGCCTCTGCTGACCTGCACTGAACCGCATGAATTCACTAAAGAACTCAACTCCACTGCACTGCACCGGACTCACTGCACTGACTCCTGAATGACTCAACTCCCAACTCATGTGCACTAACTAAACTGACTGACCCTCTCCCTGAATTGCTCTTAAATAGCTTTTCTCCTGAGAGCGGGCCACATCCTATCTCAGACTCATTCTGTCAAATCTTTCCCTGAATCGTCACTTTGTCTGCCCGTCAATTAGATGTCATTGTTTGTGATCAAAGGTGAATACTAAGGGTGTGTGTGCATTCCAGCCCATCACATAGACCTAGAAGGTCTTTGGATATGATCAGAGCAGTCATGTTGCTGGATTAAAATTTCTCTGCACTGGATTTTAGTCGGTAGAGAATAGAATTATGGTTAAGAGTATAAACTAACTGTAAACTGAAAATCATCCCTGGTATCTAAATCCTATTGGTCCATGAAGGTTTAGATCAACTTTAACTTCCTACATTAAATTGTTATTTACATATGGGAAACATCTTTAAGTTATAGAAACCACAGCAAATGATGTATGAACTCTTATACATCTTTAGATGATTACTAAATATTTTATTTTTTTAAATTATGTGTATATGTGTCAGGGTATGTGCACTTGGGTGAAGTGCACACTGAGGCCTGAAGGGGGCATCCAGTCCCCTGAAGGTAGAGTTATAGGTGACGATAAAATGCATGACTTGGATATTGGGAACCAAGTGTGGGTCCCTTGCAAAGTAGTAGATGCTTTTAACCGTAGATCCATCTCTCCAACTGCCATAGGATGACTTTTATACCATAAAGGGTTACTTTCTGAAAGAAGACGCTCACATTTTATTAAGACAAAAGACACAAAACCCAAGTCCAGGAAAAACTGCTATCACAAGTAGGGAGTGAGTCCTCAAGGGAACCCCCTTTTTCAGCTCCTGTCTGTGTTCTTCAACCTCTCCTTTCTGCTAACCCAGGAATTGACACTCCTTTCCCTAGAAAGCACTCAAGAGTGCATACCACCTTTAAACAAAAATATTTACTGGTGGCCTCGTCTGACCACCCAAGTAGCTCTCTACAAACAGCTCTTCTCAGAGATGAACTCCTAGAATTCAACTGAATACAGTTTGTATAGACTTACAGTCAAGGAAACATAGAAAAACACTGAGGTCCTTAGTTAATGCCCTGCCTAAAATATAATGATTCTTTTTTTTTCTAAGAATTCTGACTTTATCCTTATTTGAAGTTTAACTTAATCCCTCCAAGATTCTTATGTTGGGCTTTTAACTCCCTAAGAATGTGAGTTAGTTTAGAAGTGGGGCATTGCAAGTACAGCTCACTAACATCATTCTAGAGTAGGGAGAGTTCCTGATTCAATATGCTCAGCCATTATAATAAGAGGAACTTACAACACAGATACCCATAGAGGGAGGAGACACAAAAGATGGCCGTGTGATGCCACAGGCAATGACTAGATCTGCCTGACAAGCAATACCAAGAAGTGCCCCAAATAAAAGAAACTAAAGGACAAATGGCATCTTCTCCCCCGAAGATACGTGAGGGAACACGGTTCTACTGCTGCTTTAATTCAAACTTTTATCTCTACAACCCTAAGAAAATGTATGTCTATTGTTTTACAATAGATAAGCATAATGAATAAATAATTTTGAAAGTATTGCTGATGGTGTCGATACAGCTTTTCAACCCATTTCTGATGAAATTCTTCATTTTCCTCCCCTAGAAACAAGTGGATACCTGTTGTCAGGGAGTCAGGCAGAATTTTTTGATGCTTCTACCCTGCTTTGGATCTCAATTGGATCACCTCCATTACAAGACAGAGGGCCCCCACCCTTGTGCAGGCATTAAAATACCCTCAGGTAGAAATTTATGATTAAAAAAAAAATTAGGTAAGCCTACCATTTTGATTGGGAAGCACTGCACCTGTGTTATGTACACTGTTAATGCCTGGTTTCTGTCACCTTGAATACTGGCCATTTCCAGTCATTTATCTGACACAAAGTTTGAATATAGGTAATCTTTCCTAATAAGTCTACATGTTTTCAAAGCAATATGATTGTATCATTCTCCTTTTAGGGAAAGCTGAGAGAGTCCTAGCTTACGGGTTCTCATGCTGTAGTAGATTATAGATGTAATGCAATCTCTTAGCCAAGCAAATGAGAACCATCCAACAGTTAGTAAGATACAACCTACTCTGGCCAAAGTAGTGAACTCACCAATACAAGAATACACAAAATGCATAAGATTCAGTTTCTCTTTCTTACAAGTATTTATCTTTAATCACTATGGGACATGCACTCTCTCTCTCTCTCTCTCTCTCTCTCTCTCTCTCTCTCTCTCTCTCTTTCTGTGTGTGTGTGTGTGTGGTGTGTGTGTGTGCACACACGCCACTTTCATGTAGGTAGCTGTAAAAGCCAAAAAAGGGTGTAGAGTCCCCTGGAGCTGGAGTTATAGGTGTTTGTGAGCTGTTAAATCAGGAGCTGAGAACTGAACTCAGGTCCTCTGGCAAAACAGGAAGTGTTTTAATCAGCAGAATCAACTGTCCAACCTCATGATCCAGTTTTGAAAACACAGTAAACTACTCCCTGGTTTAAATACAATAATAGAATAGTGCTACTGGCTTAAGCCGTGTTACTACCATCACAATTTGATGTGTCATTCTGCACCATTTTACTGTTTAGACTTGTTAGGAGTGTTTTCCCACATGTTGAATGAACACTGTTTACCTTAGATCAAGCCCTTAGTAGCTGGCTTTGTTACCGGCGTAAATGCATACTGCACCTCATTTATTTGCCTGGCTCTGGCAGCAGGTCACTATATAGAGAAACATCTAGCTTCAGCCTTATGGGACTTACACAGCATCCTTCACTGTGACTGTGTGTGAACATGAATTAATGTCCTTCAGCTTACGTAGCTGAAATAGGCTTGTCCCTGAACACCAAAAGGAGACAAAGTAGACTAAGCCATACTACAATGGAATTCCTGTTTTAAAAAAAATGATAATTTTTCTTGTGTTTTTAAATAACTAGACACATTGTTTTATTACATGACTTGCCATCTTTTGACTAATGCCATCTGAAATTTCACATAAAGAATATCTATAATTTTAATTATATCAAAATTAGCACCCAAACTGTGAACTTATAAGAGCTCCCCCGACCCAAACTGTTGTGACCAGTTATTAGTGTCTGTCTGACTGAAACTCAGAATTCACTTGGTTTGGTTTTGTTTTTTTTTCTGTCTCTGTCTTCCAGACACTGCAAATGGATATAAACAAGCTGAATATAACCTTGCTTCGGATCTTCCGCCAAGGTGTAGCTGCAGCCCTGGGACTCTTACCTCAGCAAGTGCACATCAACCGTCTCATTGTAAGATCGTGCTTTTCATAATCTCCGAATTCAAACCTCACTTCCGTTATCAAAGGCTCCATGCTACAGTTATATGACTGACAATCCAAATCTACCACAGTACCTATTTTGTAAACAAAGTTTTATTGAAACAAGCCACATCCTCACCTTCACATGTTGTGTGAGGCTGATTTTATGCTTACAATGGCAAAACTAAGTTGTTAGAGCAAACGGATTGGCCATAAAGCCTAAGGAATTTACCATCTAGCACCTTACAGAAAATATTTTATTAACCTTGTCATAATTCGAAATTAGCCTCCCATATAAATATGAAAAAAAGGTCAGATCACTTCCTCTATCATCCTGACATAACTCCCAAAATATTCTCCAGGACAGTGGAACCTTCTCTATCAGATTTCTGGACACCGTTTACTAAGGTTTCTTCAAGCTTATCAATAGAATGGATGTTGAATGCACAAAACAAAAAATTTCATATGAATAAAAAAGAGTTAGTCCTTACCCCTCATAGCTTATGGAATGCCAAGAAAAAAACTTAAGATTGGCATCTGAGGTAGGAATGAGGAGAACCTAAGGGACTGAGGGAACTGCTGTGTAGGAACTCCTGACCTATCACCTAGTCACTCAAATTCATTCTCAGTGTCTGGGAACCTGGAGGCCATGAGCTCCATGCTCTCATTGACACTGAAGATTGCTATAAGCCATGTGGATAAAATGGACAATTTAAATCAGATTACTTTTCTTTTAGATCTTTCAAGACAGGGTTTCTCTGCATAGCCTTGGCTGTCTTGGAACTTACTCTGTAGACCAGGGTGGCTTCCAAGTCAAATGCTGGGATTAAGGCATGTACCACCATGCCCAGCATAAATTTTATACTTATTTACTTTTTTAAAAAGCGATTTGTCTAAGGCTCACAGGACAGAAACATTGAAGGGCAGCTGTAGAGATGGCTCCCCAGTTCCAGAGCACTTACTGCTCTTTACAGAAGAGCTGTGTTTGGTTCCCAGCACCCACAAGATAGTCACAACTGCCTGGATCCAGTTCTAGAGGACACAGTGTCATCTTCTGACCTCCACAGGCTCCAACACGTGGGGTTCATATAAGTGCGTACACAACACACGTGTATGCATGCATATCAGCATACATGCACACACACGGATACATATTAAATATTTAATATGTAGAAACTGCTTAAATAAAAATAAATAAAATAATTAAATAATATATAAAATGCTAACTCACTTGACTTTAAAATATGTCTGTAAGCATAATTATTCAGGAAGCATCTGAGAAATATATGTTAAGTTGGTATACAACTGTAATTCTAGCATTTAGGAGGAAGCTGAGGCAGGAGGATGCAGAGATCAGGGCCAGCCTATGTTATATCTAGATGTCGTCTCTGAAATCAATCACAGCAACATACCTACGAGAAATGAATACACATCACTCCCTAAAATGACTTCGAAGATTCTAGGAACCTGACTTTAATGTTTGTGAAGAACAGGTGAAAATTTTGCCCAGCTTTTTAAAGATGTCTTTATCTTACCCAAATGGTGTGCTCTTACTAGGAAAAGAAGAGCCAGGTTGAGTTGTTTGTGTCTCCCGTAAACCGGAAACCAGGAGAGCCGCAGGCCCTGCAGGCTGAGGAAGTACTGCGTTCGCTTAATGTGGATGTTTTACGTCAGAGTTTACCGCAGTTTGGAATTACAGACGTCTCTCCCGAGGTATGTCGTTGCATGGAACAGTTCATTAAAAAAAAAAAAATCTGAAGTCAGGACCATATGCGAATCCAAACAGTGAGGCTTTGAAACAAAAACCCTAAAAACAGCAATCTCCCTAAGTCAGAATCCAGTCCATTTCAGTTTGTGTGCTTTCCCTAAGGAAATTCACTTTTCGTGTTAAAGTTTCACTATTTGACACTTGATTGTTGAAACCATTATGACCCTGTGATTTTTTTTTTAGTAAACTGTCTACAAAAAAAGAAGAGTTAGATAGATTTGTCACTTGAAACTGAGTTGCCAACAAAACAAAAACTCCACTCTGTTTTTTTTTTTCCTCATTACTTTCATTGTCAAAATAGCCATAAAATAGCTATTTCCCCATAATTTGGAATTGTGTGAAATAGGCCTTTTCCTATGTGTAAGAAGGCCAGATATTTTCTTTATGGTATTTTCTAAATTTGATGCTTAACAAAGGTATCTCCACCATATCATCCACTTTTCCTACACAGTTTCTCCTATCAAACATAAATTCATCAGAATCACCAGCATCCCAAAGAGATGTCATTCCGCTCACAAATTCATGGAATTTGGCTCTGAGGGAAAACAGGTATAAACAGGAAGCAGGGTACACAAAAATTAAGCAACTGCCTCAAAGTGACTCAAAGGTGAGGTATAAACTAACACTAACTATGTGTTTTAGGCTCTGGGTTCAATGCCCAGTACAGGAAGAAAAAGGAAAAAAAAAAGGAGGAAGGATGGAAGAGAGAGGGGAAGAGAAAGAAGGGGAAGGAGGAAGAAGGGGGAGGAAACAGGAAGAAGGGAGGGAAGGAAGGAGAGAGGAAAGGAAGGAGGTAAGGAAGGAGGGAGGAAAGAGACAGAGACACAAACAGAGAAAGAGAGACAGAGACAGAGAGAGTATAACCATCTGGATGGGCATAGTGGCACACCCCTGAAATGTCAGATACTAGCACTCAGGATGCAGAGACTGGAGAGTCATGATTTCAAAGTCTGATCGACCTACACAGAGAGTTCCAGGCAAGCCTGAGCTACTGTTTCCAAATGAAACAGAACAAATCCTTATTCAATGCCTGTTTTATTTCTTTCCTGAAAGTTACTTTGCCCTTCATTTTAGCAAATCCATAGGTCTTATATTAAAAGTGTTAGCACTCAGCCATTTGAATCTTGCTCAGACCAAATTGCTCTGTGAGGATTTTTCTCTTTCCATTGTATTAACCACCCTGAGCCTTAGTTCCTTCATATTCAAAAATGGATCTAGCCCTTCTCTAATTGACTTGACATCAATTGATTTTTTTTTAGATATATGTGAAATTCATCGGCTTTTGTTAGTACCAAACAAATGTGATTTCAACCCAGATTAACTGAGAATATGTAGTCTTTTGATGTCCTCAGAAGATGGGGTCTAGGACACCAACACACACCAAAACAGTCAGGTGCTGAGATTTCCTATATAAAGCTATATATGCATCTGCACAAACTCTAGGAACACAATCCCATATGCTTATATTACTTATTATCCATTATATTGACATAATTAAAATGTGAAAGAGTTGCTAAAAATATTGTTTTAGGGAATAGTGGCGAGAAAGTGTACAGGTGAACTGAAGATGAATTTTCTGTCCTAATATTTTCCATCCACAGTTGGCTGGATTCCCAGATGCAGAAGCCATAGCTAGGAGGACAAACTATCTGTCACTCCTGAACCAAGACAGTCACCCTCTACTCATGACATTTGGTTTTGTTCCCTGCCCTGCCCCTCTCCTTCCTGCACAAAAAGTGTCTTTCTTTTGCTATCAGTATACCGTTCTTCAATATGATTCTTTGGTTTCAACATACAATAGAATGCAGTCCAGATTTCTTAATGTGGTTCATGGTCCTCCAGATGCTGGGCTTTTAATTGCTGAGTGGCTGCTTCTTCATTTATGTTAGAGCGATTCTAAAAGTGTCAGTTATCACGATCCCTAATCGCAAGCCTCCGTGCTTGCCACCTGGTCTCTCGATGCTCCTTTCGGCTTTCATTAGCCTGTTCAATGGCAAAGCCTTCCGTGGTTCCTTCAAGAACGAGGGGGCTCCATGCATCGTTTCCCCATTGAGCTCAGAGCAAAAACCCCTTGTGCTATGTTGTCTTCAAGGCTATCTCTGCACTGTCGGTCCCTTGATGACTGCCACATCCTTTTCTCATTGTTACTTTTTCCAGCAGCCCAGTGGGCACAATGTGAAAAGCTGAGTCAACAAGTAGAAAAACGAATACATGTGCCAACAAATCTGGAGCCTGATTTTTTTTGCATTAATGGAATAATACTCAGAGACAGCAAATAGACACGGGCAGATGTGAGGATCGCAGCAAGAATGTTATGGCCACTATCCAAACAGAATTAATTAAAATACATATTTTAGTTAAAATATAGAAACTGCCAGGCAGTGGTGGTGCACCCCTTTAATCCTAGTTACAGGGCAATCAGGGCTACGATAGGAGTATCTTCTAACAGGTCGAGTGCTTAGGGGGGTTCCCAACACGTAACTGCAATGAACGAGTAGGCTACGTGGACCGCCCAAAAGAAAGCCATTGGTTCACAGTAGATGACAACGCTTGCCCTAAACTTAAGTCTATTTAATGAATAAAAATAGGATGTTTGCCCATAAATGTGTTGGAATATAAAATCTAGGCACTGTCTAACTTGCACAAGACTCAGAATAAGAGCTCATGGAGTGTTTGAGTTGGCTATAAAGAGCCTTTCATCAAGATGAGATGGGCTGTTGGAAACTTTGGTTCAGTGGCTCTGGAAGGCCCTGTCCTGGAACTCTAAATGTAAGAAGGAGAAAGCCAAGGCAGAAAGTGTCCACAGTGTGTGGGACCCTTTGCTTGTTTCACTTCCAGCCTACAGGGCACTGCAGAAATAGTGAGAAACGGTTGTGTAAAACTACCGGGGCTCTCCCGTATGTTTTCCTGTCCTATTCTTCTCCCTGTGGTTAAGATCTTTACAACAGCTTATGCCTTAACCCTGCCTCACCTTGTAATCCTCAAAATATATCTTACTATGGCAGAATAGCCATTAAGGGGCATGTAGGGGACACAACACACCAGCCTCTGGGTTATCTTTTACATCCACTGCTGAACTTCACAACGATGTTTCAAAACATCTATTCCTGAATTTATGTTCATCGTTTTCATGTTAACAATGTGGTTTTGCCGCTCATTCCTTATGTTCCTGACTTTTTTTTTATTGAAAATTACTCAGAAAAACAAAGGAAAATACCAAATAGAGAATTACCTTCGTTCATTATCTGTTTCCAACCCAAGTTTCTTGAGGGAAAGAGACCTTTTGTTTCTTTTCTGGGGTGAAGAGTCTTTAAGACAGGATCTTACTCTGGAACCAACATCCTGAGATTTATGAAGCTGAAACATCAAGTTCCCACATTAACACGGAACAAATTTTTTAGGCTTTTATTGTTGTTCACGAGCAAATTACTCAAGTTTCATGACTACTATATTTCAAAGGAGGAAGTTATCTTCTTTAAATAGCAAACACTGAATTGATTGATTCCTGAGAAAAAATTGATACAAAGAAAAGAAAAATCATACAATATAAAATGTGACCCATAATTTCTGAGTTGGATGATTTATCTTTCAAAACTTGCAACACTAACCAGCAGGCAAATGTGAAGACTTGCAGGTCTCACATGCATTGCTGAGGGCATATATACGATTCGGTGTTAACATACCTTAGATCACACGGATCGAGGGCTTGCAACTGTGCCTTCTGGCAAAACCATCCTCTTGTGAGATGAACCATATTAATTTGTAGCCATCAAATGAACCGGACCATTTATAACATTTCTGTTTCAATTTCTGCGCTCCATCTCTTCCTATGAGATATGCCTCCCGAGCTCCCTGTATCTGCCTCATCTTCCCTGATATAAGGAGCTAGAAAGAAAATGGAGAGAGAGAGAGAGAGAGAGAGAGAGAGAGAGAGAGAGAGAGAGAAAGAGAGAGAGAGCAAGCTGGAGGAGATGGTAGAGGGAAGGGCAGAACTAACTTTATGGCATCAAGAGAGGCCATCGTCATACAGAAAGGAAACATCTCGATTTTTTTATTGAATATTTTATTTATATTTTAGATGTTATCCCCTTACCCCATCCCTGCCCCGTGCCCAGGAACCCCCATCCCATCCCCCCTTCTCCTGCTTCTATGAGGATGTGCCCCCACCTACCCGCCCCCCACTCCCACCTCCCCACCCTCGAATTCCCACACACACGGAGTCCAGCCTTCATGGGACCAAGGATCTCCTCTCCTATCTATGCCTGACAAGGCCATCCTCCCCTACATATATAGCTGGAGCCATGGGTCCCTCCCTATGTGCTCCCAGGCTGGTGGTTTAGACCCTGGGAGCTCTGGTTGGTTGGTACTGTTGCTCTCCTCATGGGGCCACAAACCCTTTCAGCTCCTTCAGTCTTCACTCTAACTCCTCCAGTAAAACACACCAGCTGCTTTCGACACCTACGTGACAGGGCAGAACAGCACAGCTATGGAATAAGTCATAAAGATGGTATAGTGGCATTAACTTGACCTGGTCTGGGAGTCTGTGACTTACTGAACCGGCGGCCCCTGACAAAAATCTAAAAGCCACTGGGTTAACCCTATGCAAAGGTGAGATTGGCCATTACCCTGCATTGCAATCTTTTGATGTGTAGTTCTCTTGAAGACTGCAAACTTTTCCTTTATTACCCTGCCCTTATCAGGCCGTTTAGATCTCTGAACCGATATAGCAGCGCTCGGCAGGAGCAGCGTGACTCAGGAGGAAATCTATTTACCAGGAACGTGCAGTGACTAAGTTCTAGTTCAAAACAAGAGCTTTTCGAGCTGGGGGTGGGGCAGGGTATGGAAGGGTGAGGCATGCTTCTGCCGACATCATGGCTTCAGTTAAAAAGAAAAATCAAAACAGGTCTGCCTTCCACAGAAGGAGATGTGTTTATGTTCTTGAGAACCACAGCACTAGAAAAGGAAAACGGATCCAACCACAACGTCTCCCTTCAGCTCAGATCCTTATACTTAAATCTGACGAATGTGCGCTGCCTGCGTGAAGGTTTAACTAGTTTGCTTTTATAGCAGACAATGGATGCCATTTGCTTGCCTGGAAAAAAAAAAAAGCCTTCAATTCTATTCTCGGTTCCTACAATAGTTTTCTTTTCTATTAGCTTCTAGCTGTGTTTACAGAGAAACTAGAGCAAAAAAGAAAAAAAAAAATTGGCCTAGCTGTTTTCAAAGAAGTGAAAAATGTTTGTCATAGGAACCCAGTAAATCCAGCCAAGTACCCTTGCTAATCACTTCGCTAATTGAGTTCTAACGGCTTCTCTATCGTTCAGAGTATGTACATAAATTATTTCCTTTATCTATGCATCTGTCTAGAAAAGGCAAAAGGTAGTCACACATAAATAAGTCTCTCTCCAAATGATTTGCATCATCATAATTGAACTCCAGGCTTCTTATCTTTGATTGATTGCAGAGATTAAGATTTCCATAAAATAGTTTTCAAGGTTAATATTTTTATCTCATTTGAAAATGCTAGGTACACTTTTTAACCTTAGAAATAAAAATAACTAGAAATGGTCTCAAAATATAAGCACCTAGAATATAGGTTTAAGTTGAGGCTTGCTTAGTCTTTGGGGCTAATTAATTGTCAATGCTCTCCCTGAGGATTGCAAAGTGGTCTCGTGCGTGAGTGGAAACAGTTTGCTTGATACAAACTTTGTTTTTCCTACTCGGAAACTACCTAGGTTTTTTTTTTCAAGTTGACGTTTCTTTGCCTATAAATCTACAATATAATCAACTTATAAAACATCAACTTATAAAACATCCCCATAGCTAGGCATTGTGGCCCATTGCCTATGATCCCAACACCTAAGAGGCTGAGGCAAGAGAATTCATCACCTTGAGTTCCAGGCCAGGCTGGGCTACAGAAGGAGAGAATCTGTCTAAAACAGAAAATAATAAAGTTCTGAAGCATCCATCCTGTTCTATCCTGAAGGATGAGTAACATTGAACCAAGAAACAGTCACGTCTTGTCCAGCTCCGCTCCCAAAGCAAGGAGCGAAAGCAGTAAAAATTAAACAATTCTATTTATGTTTTTACCATTTATTACTAAATAATTCTGACCCTGTGGGTGTTCCCTGTCACTTCAAATAAAATATAAAAATATCCTGGCAATTTCTACGTGCTATGCTTCGTTGGGTTTTGACAAAGGGAGTTTCATTTAAGGGGGAAAACGGTCTGATAAAAGGAAGAAGAGAACAGAACAGGAGTGGTCCCAACCTCGAGGCTTGTTTATTAAACTATCACGAGCTTTTTGTTTTCACCTGTTTCGCTTCTGTTTAAAAGTAAGGAGCCGCGCTGTAAGACAGTGTGGACGTGGGAGGGGACTCAGAGTACCAGAGTACGGAGAGCTTTGGAAACAGTTCCTCAGCACAGAGAAGCACAGAGCTCCCTCACCTGTGAACCAGGTAGTTTCCAAGAGAGGCTGTGCCAGACCTGGAGGAAAGCAAGAACCCAGGAGCCTGTCCCACATGCCCACCCCCTCGCTTACAGGTTCTCCTGACACCGAGGGTAGCTGTCCATCCGTGCCTGAGCAGTTAGGAAAGCAGCTGTGGCAGCCCGCGGTGGAGGTGTGTTTTACTACACCGAGTGGAATCGAGCTAAAAACTCTGTTGACAGTCTGATAAGAGCTCCAGTTTTCCCCAAGCTCTCCTTTAACACCGGGCTTTCTGTTTTGCTTTCGAAAGAAAAATGTTTTACAAGGGCAGCATGAGGCGGACAAGATTTGGAGCAAAGAAGGATTTTACGCTGTCGTCATCTTCCTCAGCATCTTCATCATCGTAGTAACCTGTTTGATGGTAAGTTAGCTTCTTTGTGTATCTTATCCTTCGTGGAGCCCACGGCTTAGCAATGTTAGGTATTTTGCCACTTGAATGGATGTTGAAAAGACGACGGAGCAGAAGCCAGGCTGTAATCGGGTTAGGCTGGGACCGTTTTGTGGCAGCGGACGATTGATTGCTAAATGGTGTGTGTGTGTGTGTGTGGACGTGCGGAAGTGTAGATGCTGTGCTGTGGCAGAGTGAGAATGCAGCTGCACTGAAGTGTTTAGGATCTAGACCAACCCCTGTGTGAAGATTAAGAAAGTGATTTACTGAGGTCACTGTAACCCTTAACGTCACTGAAGTCTCAAGTGCACACTTTGGGGCTGACTTCATTTCTTCTCTTATGTCATCTTTATAGGACACAGGGGAAAATATTTTTTTTTGAAGAAATACGTCTTTGAGGCAAGCTTTCTCCCCAAGGAATGGTTTATTTCCTTATTTTAAACAGCCTTGAAGGTATTCTAAGAAATACCAGGCATTAGGGGAAGTGATTATAACCGTTCACTGCTATCTCATTTCCAGTTGAATGAATAATATATAAGAATAAAAGTAGACGCTCCAGGTCGTGACACGTGGCCAACAAAGCATAGTCCTGAGTTTAAAAAGTAGAATCCAAAATAAGCCCAACCCACTAAATTAAGCCAGGCTTTGTATTGAACAAGTTAATAGTTAACTTTCAAGTGGAATGGGGGTTTTTTGTTGTTGTTGTTATTATTTTTTTTTAAATCTGTGGTGTAGTTTGGAGTTTACAAATGGGTTTAATATCTTTTCTTGTGTATTATGTTCATTTTATTTTGTGTATTTTAAAAAATGCTTTATTTTTTTTACATATCCCACCCCCCAAAGACACAATGCCAATGACTCTGTCTACAGTTAACAATGTTGCCAAGCACTTTGCTGGTTTGTTTAGGTGTTCTTCCTTCTGGAAACAATGCCAGAGAGATTGAGACTGGTTCTTGGAGGTCAGAGAGGCTCAGCTGATCTGAACTTGGGGGACACCAATAAGATCACAAATAGAGTGAAGACAGTCACATGTCCAAGGTCTCAAGATATAAGAAATAGCAAGACATCCTAAAATTGGCATCATAACGGATTCAAAGGTATCTTCTTTGGATCAGAAACTGAACTTCTAAAAATTGTGACCCAGGAAACAAGATCATAGTTTAAGAACTAAGTTTAAACAAGATTTTATATCAAAAGTGGTAGATATTAAGGAAAATAGCTTTAATGAAAAAGACTGAAAGTTTTATGGAAACTGTAGAGGAGATGTCTGACTACTTTTTTTAAAGGGTGTAGTTCTTCCTCGTGACTGATTGCACTTTAAGATATGTGATCCTTCTTTCTTCAGCACAGGAAAATCTCAAGTTCTGTTCTCTGTCTTGTTAGTCCTAATTAGGATTTATTCTCTTGCACAGATTAAAGGGGTTGAAAGAACTGGGAGAATAGCTCAACAGAAGGCTTGCTTAGAGCTTGTCACTCCCCGTGCTGGATCCCCATCACGACAAGGAGAAAAAGAGGAATTCTAGAACAGTAAGAGAAAAAGTGCAGAAAGTGATGCCAACAGATTGTTTGGATGATTAATGAGTAAGATTCAGAAGACAAAGGCAAGAATGAAAGGGAAGGGTGAGAAGCCAGTTCATAGGCAGGCTTTGGGTGTTAAAGGGCAGAAAAAGAACAGAGTTTGCTATTGACAGGTAAGATACGTTTCCAGTTCAATGATTGTAACTGAAATACAATGTCCAGATATCCCACAGACCGAGTACAACCATGCATTGGTCTCAGACTAAAGGACCTATAGTGAGTGATCACACCCTCAACATCTTGGGACCAAGGCCAACTCCTTTTCTAATATTAGCAAAGCATCAGTGTAAACCTCACCAGCCTGAAGAAGACTGTTCCAATGTTACTAGAACCAATCAAGAAAGGAATGTCTTGAAAGTATGCATGGTGCTGTCAGGTCTGTGGTGGACTCATCCACTAAGTCAAGCAGCATATTCATAGGCACCATATGCATGCAGAGGATCCAGTGTGAGAAATCAGAGGATACGGTGCATAAAGTCCCTGTTCCCTGAGGCTTTAATGATGGAGAGAAATACAGACAAAGATTAAGATGTTTTAAGTATCAAATGATGAACACACTGTATGAGCTCATCAATAGGACATCCTGAGAAACACATAAAGATATTGGAAGGATCTATGGCTCTCAGGTCATGGTGGACAGAGGGAGTATTGTGTGGAGAATGTAGATTTTAGGGCAATGAACTTCTTCTGCATTCTGATGACTGCATGGCATTATGAATTCATCAAGTGTGTAAAATGTTCATCGCTAAGGGTGATCTCATCTACCCTGCGGCAGAGTCAATAATATCAATACTACTTCTTCCTTTATGACAAACATACTATCCCAAAGCAAGCTATTTATAAAACAGACATAGATTGGAACTCTGTACTTTCCACAAGCATAAACATCAACAATCATATCGTACCTTTGTTCCATATTAAATTGTAATCAGGACCACAAAGAAGATAGCATAGTCATGATTGATAAGGCAGAACAGTCCGACATCTGATAGAAACCAACACTCACGGAACGAGCATGTCAGACAGAGAAGACAGTAGAGCAGTGTTGGGGGTGAAGCAGGTTTAGACTGTCAGGTTCGAGGGGAAAACGGAAACAATGTCCATGCAGATGACGGGCGTGTGTTTAGAAGGTCAGTCTCTGATTAAGCATGTGGTTGGGGTAGAAGGGAGTGGGAAACATGAGGCCCGGTAGCCCCTGTCAGGGTCCTTGTGACAAGGATGACGACAGTAAACTGGAACGGGGAGAAGTGGAGATGAGTAGGCGTTGGAGACAGAGCACTGTGTGATGTACAAGGAATGGGATTCGTAGGGTACGGATGACCAGCGGAAAGAAAGATACTAAACGCCCTCTATGTCATCCGGATTGCTTACTAAGCCCCGGTGTTCTCGTTCTAGGGAAGAAGCATGCAAAGGGTTGGGGAATGAAGATGAAAACAAGAACGCTTGACTTGTGTCCAAGGGATTATTACGAGTAAATGACAGAAATAGGTTGATTTCAAACACTACCTTAATTTTACTGTGGAAGGGGTCACTTCAAGAGGAGCAGAGGAACCAACGGTGTGTGGGAAGGGATTGATATTCATGGAGAACTAATACCCTCTAACAGGATTACGGCAAAGCTAAATTTATCTGATATGATTTGCCACGGCTCACACTTAGAGACACATCAAATATGAGTCTCTAAGATCAACTCATCTTCCTGAATCCAAATGCTTCTGATAATGATCTTAAATTAATTTTTTTTTGGCTAGGATCTCTTAGTATTAGTTACACAGGATGTACTTTGTGCTTTTATTGTGTGAGACACGCTTTCTAGTTCTCAAATGCACAATGCAACTGTTTCCTGTACTTTTGTTGGTCCGTGGCATAGAAAATTCTATAATTCAGAATTATCCTTATGGCATCAATTATATTTATGGAGTATCAAGTGTCATTATTTTTATCTAGCCTTCTCATATTGCACTGAAATAAAAAAAATCAGGCGATTTTATTATGGCGTTATATAGGCAAAATGTTGTCATGAAAGGTTACTTCTGTTACACAACACTAGCATAAAACTTGGCAAGGTTTTTTTTTTTTAATATGGCATATTGTTTAGTTTCCTTAAAATACAAAAAGAGGAATATTTATTGCCAGACATTAAATTAGACAAGCATGACATTTTCAAATGTGTGACTTATTTAGCACTTCTCAAATGCGAACACAGAGTGGGTGGACTGCTGGCACATAGACAAATAGAATTTTCCAAGAAAAAGCGTGTGGGCAACTTCATCTCCATTCAGTCTGTTTTTTGATAAAGGAAAATATAGCATCGAGAAGAATTAGTTCTTCTAACATAACAGAAAGTACACCGTTTATCATCTAAATCAGACCTTCCAATGTACTTTCAGGCTTATTAAAAGGTGTAAAAGTATTCACAAAATGTGCACAGACACACCTAGTGGCCAGATTGCTTCTAGAAAGCAATTTAAGAAATCACAAAGAGCTGCTGGCATGTTAACGTGCTGGCGTGGCGAAGAGTCATCCGGGTATGAAGTAAAAGGATTCTCTAGTCACACTCTGGTACCTAAAGTAGGAAATACTCTGTTGGACCCTTAGGCTTTGAACCTCATGCAGTGAGTTCATCCCAAAAGTGAACTTGAGCTGTGTGAGCTATGTTTTTCCTAACCTGTTACATACAATCTCGATGGATAAGGGAGATAGACCCAGATACATAACTGATATGATCAATTACGACGCCAGCACAGAAACACGCCGGCAACTCAAATTATGAATTACGTATCCTACAACCCCTATACGCAGAGTGGTAAAATAATAATAATAATCTATTTCTCCTGTCTATTGAATACTTGCTGGTCCTAGATTTACTGCAAGACACAAAATGATGCTTTACATCTCTATCTTTACTGGTGAGCCAACCAGAACTCAGAAGCGAGTTGACCCATAGCAAACAGTACTCGGGGACATGAGGGAGGAAGGGAAGGGTAGGAGGGATTGGAACTCAAAGTCAAGTCCTCCTGGTTGGAGGTCTAAGCTTACTACCATGGCTCTGCCTGATTCCATAAAGGAGTCCAGTGTGGTTTCCTTTATTCCTCTCAGTCACTCCTCTTCTAGCCTCAGATAGGTCTGGGAACACCCGAGTATGCCTGTGTTTATCGGACAGACTCCACCCAGGCAAGCATTTGCTATTCCATACCTGTGTGCAAAGGACACGCCTGTTTCCACCTTAGTACCTTGTACAGGACATAGTTTTACACATCCGTCTCCTGGAAGCCTCCAAGCTCCCCGGATCAGAGTCACGTTCCGCATCTGCACCTCCAGTCCCATTTCCAGACTATATTAAGAATGTTCATGACATTAAAAGAGTAAACTCTTTCATAACTTACTATAAAACACCGTACCGAACACCGTCCATTAGGGCCGTCATCTTTAAATTAGAATACCCCTTATTCCAAACACCCTGTTTTCTGTTACCGGAGAGACTTTTAAAAATGAAAATTATAACTGCAAAAAATGTTTCAAGGGGCTTTGCTTAGCTTCTTCTCGTTTCTGCGTCCCTTGGGTCTCGCTGCTGCCATTCTTACCCCCCACATACCATAATTCAGTTTTATAGCTCCTCTTACTCAATATTCCTTTCTCTTTTCCTCCCTCAAATGATCAGATTATTCTAATGCATCCCAAAGCTCCAACACAAGCTGAGAGAGAGAAGCGGGGGAGAGACAGAGACAGAGAAGGGAAAGTCTTAGCTCGTCATTACTCGGCTAGGATTTAAGAATGATTTATGCAAAGACTGTATGTGTGAGAATCCAAACTGTGCAGAGGAGTCTCTGACACACGTTTCCTGAAGCTTTGGGTCAGAAAGGAGAAGGTGTGTATTTGAAAGAAACCATAGTTGAATGATCACATGCCTGGGATTTAGGAGACGTGGATTCTAGACTCTCTAGCCGGTTTTCTGTAGGTGATTTAATTGCTTCAGCTTCACGTTGAAACAGAGACATCATACCGGATGAGTCTTAAGATTCCTTACTCTAGGTCCAGCCCACAGTATCAAGGGCTGACTGTTCTGATGGGGTGGTGGGTGTGGGGGGATGATGGCCTTTCCTGTGTATTGCTGAGTGTTTACCAGCAACCTAGCCTGGCCCTGGCCCTGGCCCATTATCTTCCCCTAAAGTTTCTCTAGATATTGTCAAATACCCTCTGTAGAACAAAACTCCTACTAGGCAGTTATAAACCACTGCTTTGTGGCTAAAATCTATGAAAGCTGCCTTAGTGCCAGACAGCATCTCATCTTCCTCCACACCTCTTATCCATCAGTCCAGTGTTCTGAGTATTTTTAAGGGCTATATTTACATTAAGCCCTTTCCAGATTCTGATTTTTTCCCCTAATTAGTGCTATAGAAATCAGCTCATATGCAAGCTACACTGAGATGGGTTAAAAGCTGGAGGTGAAATAGATTATGATTATAAATCACGAGGCAATGTTTCCCTATAGAACTGTCTGCAGCAGAGAAGGAGTTTAGACCAGATATTGATTACACTCATGTAATCATAAAGTGGCTTGCGCCGGGCGGTGGTGGTACACACCTTTAATCCCAGCACTTAGGAGGCAGAGGCAGGCAGATTTCTGAGTTCAAGGCTAGCCTGGTCTACAGAGTGAGTTCCAGGACAGCCTGGCCTACACAGAGAAACCCTGTCTCGGAAAACAAACAAAAACAAAACAAAACAAAAGAAGTGAGACGTCAAGGACAACTGGGAGCAACTGTACCTGACTCCTGATTCGCAGGAGAATATGTCTCCAAAATGAAAATATGAACGAGTAAGCAAATATCCAAACATACATATTACATTCCTATGTGGGGAACTTAAACTAGAAAATATAGACATCACTCCTTGTGTGAAATGGATCCTATATGGATGCCTTTATTTCTTCATTCGGAAAATGCCTGATTTGCAACTTACAGATAATATCCCACTTCAAATAATATTGACTCGTCTTTCAGTAGTTCTGTGTTTAGCCTGACACAGCAAGCCTTCCATATATGTGCCGTCCAGTTGGTGACGTCATACTGTGGCTTTTGTTTCTGCAGAATGGTGGCAAGATAGATATAGGTATAGGTATAGGTATAGGTATAGGTATAGGTATAGGTATAGGTATAGGTATAGGTATAGGTACAGGTATAGATGGAAACTGTAAATGAACAGAAAGTTAAAGGTATTAGGCACTATACATATGTTAAAGGCACTCCCCTGTGGCATTTTTTTATTATTATTCTATAGCTCCAAGAAAGCACAGTACACTTATTTGAAAGTAGTCACTGTAAAGGAAAGAAGCTGAACTCTAATCGTTGACAGCTGTCTTCCCCTTGTGCAGTAATGTTTGTGGTAGAAATGCCCCACTGAAGTAGGTGTACTTGTCTGTCTGTTTGGATTCGGAGACTGTAAAACCCAAGTTGGCCTGAATCCTACCATATCTGCCTCCCACGTGCTAAGATCACAAGCACATATCATTATTCTAAAAAAAAAAAATCTAAAATTTCATTTTTCCCTTGCTAAAGATTATAGTTTCCAGGTTATGAGAAAATGAACATTTAAAAAGTGATTTTTTTTTTAAATTCCCAGCAGCTCAATGTATGGTGTTTCCTTCTAGTTATTCCTGACATGTACATAGTTTTCTTTTTCTTTAAGGAAACCACCTTTCAATCCATACAAGCAAATCCTTAAAACTGACAGCTTTGAAGCCTTTCTCTTATCCTTGTCTAATTCTTGATTTAAAGACTGATCTTCTAGTTTATGTATGTTCATGTCTGCATTGAGTTCACGTGCACTGCATGCATGTGGGATTCTGCTGAGGCCAGAAGGGGGTGACGGATTCCATGGAGCTGGAGTTGTAGGCAATTGTTAGTCACCTTATTGGTGCTGGGAATGAAACCCAGGTCCTTTGTAAGAGCAAGTGGATCTAACCACTGAGCCATCGCCCCAGCCAGTTTTGTTTATTTCTTCTGCTCAATATCACAAGCAACCTCTAATTCTGTCCTGTGCACCACTAAAGGATGCTATCGGCTCTGTCGATTCCCAGCAGCCACGTGGTAGTTCGCAGCCATCTCTAACTCCAGTTCCAAGAAATCCAGCACACTTCACTGGCCTCCTCAGGCACCAGCCATGTACACAGCCATGTGTAGACAGACACACATTCAGGCAAAACATCAACACCCATAAAACACAGAAAGATACTTTTATCTTTGTCTTTGATAGATGCCCTACATGGCTGCTTTGCCTACTATTAAAACAGATTCTCAAGTGGTTGTATGACTAATAACTTGTTTACCAAGTTAAGAGTGGATTTCTAACAGAGTAACTATTCTTTTATTAACATTTTATAAGTCTTGCTTTCTTGCTGTAAATGGATGCAGTCCTCTAACTCTGTAAAGATCATGGGCTCATGTTTTGTAGCTCTTCCTTCCAAACGCCTCCCTTTTCAAGAAATTCCTGTGATCAAACTGTCATCCGGCATCTTTGTAGAATGATCGCTAAATTTCCTTTTGGATCTATCCTTGAGGAACATATTCACGTGCACAAACTTTCAAGATTTATGTCCAACCCAACTGGAAATACCAGTCAAAGCCAATTGATCTCTGCACCGTCCCCACCTCCAGCCTATGCCTGCACTGAATGCAATTAGTGCTCTGCGGGGTGGTGATTGATTATTTTTGGCTTGACTTTATTTATGTACCCAACATATCCTTTGCAGGGAAATGGTCTCAGTACCACAAAACCCAAGAACTTACATTAGGGGCTGGGCCTACTTTATCGCTAATGTACATTTTGATGTGTCTTCTGAAGTAGGAGAGAGATCATATTCTCTGTGTTGTCTAGGACACAAAAATCTCACAGAAGCCCTTATGTCTCTTTTTGTAGATTATTTACAGGTTAAAAGAAAGGCTTCAGCTTTCCTTAAGACAAGATAAAGAGAAAAACCAGGAGATCCACCTATCACCCCTTGCACTCCAGCAAGCACAATCAGAGGCCAAGACGACCCACAGCATGGTCCAGCCTGATCAGGCGCCCAAGGTGCTGAATGTGGTTGTGGACCCTCAAGGCCAATGCACTCCTGAGATTCGAAACGCCACCTCCACCTCGGTCTGCCCTTCTCCCTTCAGAATGAAGCCCATAGGACTCCAGGAACGGTAAGAGCCTTGACTGAGATCACATCGAAATACTGTTTTTGTTTTTTGCTTTGTTTCTGAAAAGTTTCCTCCCGCTAAAAAAGGGTGCAACCAGAACCTACAGACCATGAGGTAGAATCATTCACCACGAGACAGGCCCCAGGAAGTAGGTTTCTCGTCACCCAAATGAGTCTCAGTGTGCTTGGGGACATCTTTTTCTATGAGCTTGCATAGACTCAAAGTTCATCTGCATCTCAGGGGTGGCTTCTGCCACCAGTTGTTATCAAGGGCCACTAACCGAACATTTAATTATGTGCAAACGTGGTACAAGAGTTGCTAATAAATGCAAGTGTTTCCTTCAGATTCCCAAGGTGTTGTACGTCATGACGTCATGACGTCATGTAGGAGGGATCTGGGCCACAAATTAACTCATCTAAAGTTTCCTTTCTGTTTCCTTCAACCACAACAAGAATTACATATCAAGATCTATATTTTTGTTACACTTATCTCTCTTTCTTACAAACTTATCCCTGTGATGCACTTCCATTTAAAGCAAGTCCCGTAGCGGGCAGGGGAACTAGATTATGCAAAGTACATAATGAAGGGTTGTTGTTTTTTTCCTTCCTTCAAATATTAATTAAACTTTTCCCATAGTTTTCTTAAATAATTCTGTTATTTTCTGGTGGTGCGTGGAATTGATTGTAGTGCCCCATGCATGTTACAGACGTCATCTATCAGTGAGCTGTATGTCCTCCGGCCGCCCATGACAAATTTTATTTGTATTTTAAACATAATTATGTTGTATCCAGCATTGCACACCAGGAGGTGTGAGAACACAAAAAACTTAAAAGGACACAGACTTCCTCTCCTAGGTCTCCGCTTTGTTGTCTTTGGGTTTCCATTCACACCGTGTTCATTTCCAGTGACTTATCACCATGTCCTGTGGAAACAGTCATATTTCACACATACACACACACACACACACACACACCCTTCAGTGAAGTACAGCTTAGAGCTTTCAATACTCTAAAATACAAACTACATCATTCAAGTCTTTGAACTTTAGCCAGATGTGATGGCTCACACCTGTAATCCCAGCTCTTAAGGGGGTGCAACAAGAAGATTACCACAAGTTTAGGGGCTATATAGTAAGTTCCAGGTCAGCCTAAACTACTGTCTAAGACTGTGTCTCAAAAAGAAAAGATCTAAAGTTCTTTTAATGTATTGTGAATGATATGACCGGAGAGGAATTTGTTGTGATTTGCTATAAAGACTTGGTAAACAAACCATTGATGTCACTCCAGAGGGAAACAGAGAACAGACAAATCACTCCTCCTATCTCTGTTCCCCCAAAATGCCTTCCTGACAGTTCTACCCCAGCCCTCAAGTGACATCCTCACACTTGAATATAGCTCAATGGTCTTTCTCAGATTTGGTCTGGAAATGAAGGTGGGGCGGACCTTTCCTCTTGATAGTACCATGGGGTCGGGAGACCTGCGATGTAGACCCACAAACTCATGGTTCGTCTGACCTTCACTTCCTTCTAAACTGGGAAAGGATGAGCTGGCTTCTTGGCTTCTTTCCAGTCTCCAGTCTCCGGCACTTCAAAGAGAAGCCTTGAGGCAGAGATCTGAGCACCAGGGATGATCTGAAAGCAGAGTAGGAAGAAAGGTCAGCCTGGATATAGACAGTGAGGGGAAGGTGCACTATGGAAGATGCAAAGACAGTAATGAATGGGTTTTCCTAACTGGCTAATTTTAATTAGTACCGTGCACTACTAATTCTATGCAAGGTCAGCATACCATCATCCAGGAGAGAGCTGTAGCCACCTGTCCTTGTGGACCACCTCCTTAGCATGTTTAGATTTCAGGGAACATACGGTTAAAGATCCATGTCTTCATTTAATTGGAGTACACATTGAGAAGAGAGGATAATCAAGTGGTATCTTACAAATATATTTGTGGTCTACATGGAAATGCTATTAGAAAAGGCTAGAACCTTAAACATATTAAACAGCTTCCGTGTCTCCTGGTCTATAGTTACATCTGTCCCAGCATCCCCTACTCCCAATGCCTTCCCCTCTCAATGCAGGAGAAATCTATTCCCTCCACAAGTCTCCCAGTCCTTCCTAACCTAGGAGCATACTTCATCAAGTCTTTGCTCTCTGTTCCCCCTAAAAGTTAGTTTTCTTTTGTATCAAAGAACTTCTGTTCTCTTAGGTCATTGCCCCTCTGACTCTGGTCTTTGCTTCCTTCCCCTAAAGAACTAGAGTTTCTACACTGTCAGTTTTCCACATTCCGTCCTCTTTATCTCTCATGTTCTGATTAGTTGATGCTTTGATGGTCTAACTACCCAATACAAAACGCATGCTTCATGTTTCTTTCTGTCTAGCATGAAGGGCTGCCCAATCCTTAGCATCTCTCCTAGGGTCTACTAGACAGTTTGAGTGACCACTTTATCAAAGCCCTCCTCAGAGTTTCATTCTCTACCCCTCTGCTTCCTGTCTTATCTAACCACATCCATTCCTCACTCCTATGCTTACTCTTAGAGAGATCCTGACCCATGCGCTTCTCCTGGGATATTACAAAAGAGGATGCTCAGAAACAGAACTCACAGCCTCCCTCAAGGCATTTCTCTTGGTGAACTCTGAATCCTAGGAACCTGAAAATATCCTCAACCTCCTTTCTCCTTCCCCTCTCATGGTATATGTAAACACTGTGAAGATCTGCCACCTTTCTCCTAGGAGCCCCTTCTTGCTGACCGAATCACCACTGAGGATTTGAGATTTCACATTCCTCTCAACCAGAGTCCTCGCTGACCCTCCTGCCTCATCCTCTGTTCTCCTCCAGTCCATCCCCAGACGTCTCAGGCAGCAGTGTTCTAAAATACATTTGAATACCATTCTTTTTAAACTCCTCAGTATTTCCACGTCTCTATTTTGGAAGAAATTGATAGCTCCTCTATAAGGAATATGCCAGCCTCTGTCCAACCTTATTTCCTGCTAAGTACCCACACACATCCCATCTGGCTACTGAAGTGTTTTTCCAGGCACTGTACCAAACTCTTCAAGTACTTGCCGAGGCGCCATCTTTCTTTTCCCTATCCCTATTTGCTATTAGAAAGTACCACCATCGCAGTAACAATGAATCTGTGTCTATACATCAAGGAAGTAAGAAATAAAGTTGTATCTCTCTGTAACTCATACCAAACTTTTGTTCTAGAGCCCATTCAACCTACATGGCAGAAATTTGATCTCTGCTGCTTTCTGATTGACTCTACCTTGACCTCTGTTGCTTGGGGATTCCATCTAGATTTTTGAAAGGACCTTCTCAATATAAAATGTAAGAGATTCATCTGCCCTGATGCTATCCATCCAAAGCATTATTTGATAAAATATCCATTTCTTCCCTCTACCCTCAGAAGGTCACCCATGGCTGTTGCCACTTGTTCCTTCTTTCTATTCATGCAAGTTCCTCTGAATCTAGTGATGACTTTCTTATGTTCCCTCTCTTCCCCTCTCTAGACTGTATCCAACATATTCTGAGGTATTATCATATTCTTACTACTGACTACTATACCTCAAGTGGAAATCTAGGAAACTTTATGCCAAGACTCCATCCCTACTGCCCCTTCTCAAGGGGTCAAGGTCCCTCTGCTGAAGATCTTCCACATCCCCAGGGATCAGTCATGAAAGATAGTGTCTTGCCCATTCGTGTGCTCTCAAGTCATCCCAACAAACACGTCTCCCTCCATGGATTCCTTCTCTGACTTTGTGAATAAAAATCTCTACTCGTGTTGGTTTCATAGTTCCCTTCATCTGGCACCCACACACTCTGATGTGTTTTTCCACTAAGGACTTGACCTTTGAAACTCAAAAGACAGAGCCCACATTTCTTTGCCTTCTGCTTTCACATTTCTTCCTTAAGCAATAAAACACCAAACAGCTTGACAGCTTGAAAACAAGAACAGTCCAAAGGTGAGGAATGGCGCTTGGAAAAAATGGGGAGAAAGTTCACGAACCACATCCTCTGGAGTGACTCATGGTCATTCCTCATGATGACTCTATGCCTCACCCATGGAGCCCAGCACTAACCTGGGAACTTCTCTTCTGCTCCCTTCTGCATTGGTCCAAACAATTGATGTGCATAGGTTGCCTAGGGAACACTTATGTGCTTTGTCATTCTCAGTTAGCTGACCTGCCAGAGCCAATAGCCTCTGCTCTTCCGGAGGACATACATATTGTTTAATGATCACTTTATCTCTTATATAGATAGTGTAATCTCTGGAGAGCAGGAACTTCTGGAAATGAATGGATTTCGTAAATAATTCTCAGGTGGACTCCCAGCAGGGAAACACTTTGCTCATTGTGTCAGTCCTTCCTTCCTCTTCTGCTTCCCCTCCCATCTTTCTGTCATCTATCTCTGCCAACATGGCAGAGTGGATCCCTCTCAGAGCGATAAAATATGATACATGTACAACATGCTATACAGTCAAAAAAAAGTTTTCTGACATTTCATCTTTCAGCCTTAAGGTTTTGTGCTTATGTATTTTAAAGTTGCCTTTTAGAAAGCCTCATGTTTTCCTTTCCAGAGCTTGGTCCTGACGTAAAGTAATAACCTCTTTATTACATAAAAGCCCGGCCATAAAGCCATGAGATCATAAAGGCTGCCTTATGAATCAACTGTCCCATAAGGCTCTTGGGCCATGCTAAATAAATCTCTCATTCTTGTTATCATCAATAATATAATTTTGTTTAAATGTAAGTAAAATAAGACGCAGAGACTAAATGTACATGCTTAGATAAATATGAAAGTATACACTGAAAATATGAAGATTGGAAATCCATTCAATTTTAGATGTAATTGTTTTATCTCTATTGATTCTTCCTTCTCTGCTCTCTCATTCTTGATAGACTCCTCACCCTGGGTCTGGCTTGCATTATTTCATCTTTGAACCGAATTTTCTGATTATAAAAATGCCATAAGAAATAATCTACATCACACACCACATACACTCTTTTA